AGGGTTCTGCTTATAATAATTTCTTTTTCTCCCCAATCTTTGTAAAGAGATGGAAGCAATTTTCTTTTAGATACTAGATAGTTGCCTCTGTTCCTTGTTTTAGTAAAGGCCTAATGTTGCATCAGATTGTTCATATTTGACAAGGTAAAAACTTCCAATTCCACTCTGAATAAATCTGACCCCAGGCTTTATAGGTGAGGAGCAGTGATGGGTAGAGATAGTTTTTAGCTTGAGCTAAAACTTGGTTGGTTGGTTGGCTAACATTGCTGTCAATGTTCCTCTCAAATCCTTCAACATTTGAGAATCAAGAAACCTACAGATATCTATCTGTAGATCCTTCATCACAATTTCTTTGTCCCAGTGTTGGAACAGAAAGTCAAAAACTGAGAAAATAGAAGATACGGAAGAAAGAGGAAAATGTATTGTATTTGAATTACCAGGAAAAGTGCTGTCTTGATAGGGAAATATGAAGGAAGAACACATTGCCTTGAAAAACCAGAACTTCCTCCTCATGGAACATGTGAATATCTCAACAGTTCAGCCCTGCCTGGGAGTCGGTAGTAATCAGGAACATTTCATTTGTACCCGCTTCTCCTGTTCTGTGCCCAGCTACGGAGAGGACAAGAAAGCAAACAAGGGTGGAAATGGATGCTGTAAGGCTTCTCTTCCCCTAGGTGATAACATTTTATCTCTTCTTCATCAAGCAGCCTTGCTCAAATCTGCTGTGGTCATGGAAAATGCTGACTTTTAAAGAAAGGATCAGATCCATTTTCAGGTTGTGTTGCCTTGTTTTTGTGATTTGGTCAGGATTGTATTTTTTTCAAGCAAAGTTGCTTAATAGCAGGGAATGAATCTTGCACGAACTGATACTCTTTGAATACTCAGTCAAAAGGAGAGCAAATTGAAATTCAGTCGACACTGTCTGGTTTCACACAATATTTGGACCAAGTTATAATGAGATTGAGGATAGTTTGCAGTTTGGTATGTTGTAAGAATCCAGCCATTTGTCCTGCCATATTGTCTGAGCAGAGTTGTCTCTTGAAGTTATAATATGCCTTGACATCAGTGGTGGGATTCAATTTTTTTTTACTACTGATTCTGTGGATGTGAGATTTGGGCTCAGATTCTCTTTTGTTTTGTTTCTTAAATTGCCAGGCGCACCAAACACGCGATTCGTGCATGCACAGATAACAGCAACACCGACCATCAGCTGTTTCTTGCATTCCCAGGTGCGCCAAACACATGATTTGCACGTGCACAGATAATAGCAACACCAATGGTGGTATTCTATAGGTTTGGCTCGGTTCTGCCAAGCCGGTAGCAGCGATGAGCAGCAGAGACCAAATTGGTTCGCTCTGATGCTTTGTGTTGGGCCCACCCACCCACCTGGGCTCCCATTCTAACCTTTATGTCCTGCTTTTCAAGCGCAGCTGCTTTATACGGCACAGCAATTGCCATGCAGCAGCTGCTGAAATGTCAGGGAGAGTGCAGGATTGCAGGAGCAGGGGTGGGATTCTACCAGTTCGCACCTATTTGCTAGAACCGGTTGTTAACATTCTAAGCAGTTCGGAGAACCGGTTGTTAGAAGAAATTACTGGCCTAATCCTGTAAGGAAGGCAGGAAGGAAACATTCTGGTGTTGCTTACAGAAACTGCCTCTCCGTTAACCCTTATTACATTCTTGGCAGGACTAGACTTCCTGTCTCTGGAACTTCTCTGGAGTTTTTTTCCCCTCCTTTGCTGGTACTTTGCTTGTGTGGAGTGACCATTCAAAGTTACAGTGGCACTGAAAAAAGTGACTTATGATCATTTTTCACACTTGTGACTGTTGCAGCATCCCCAAAGTCATGAGAGGCCAGGTGAGGAGATACGTGCTTCAATGTGAGTGATATTGAGTTGGCCACACCCAGCCAGTCACATGACCACCAAGCCATGTCCACCCAGTCACATGACTACCAAGCCACACCCACCAACTAAGCCATGCCCACAGAACTGGTTGTTAAAAAATTTGAATCCCAATCCTGTGCAGGAGGTGAGTCAAAATGCCTCTGCGCCTGCGCAAAGTGTGCATTTGGCACACACACACATGAAAAGTGTTTGTGTGCACGCAAAGAGGGCCCACCAAGCCACGCCCACCAAACTGGTGTAAGAATATTTGAAACACACCACTGAGCAACACCGACCATCAGCTGTTTCTTAGCTCAGCTGAGGCGTGGTAATCCACTCTGCCACGCAAATCAGCTGAGCTAAGAAACAACAGAATATTGGAGAGGTGAGAGGTAATAGTGGGGCAGGTGGGTGGGGCCGGTCAAAATTTTCACTACCTGAATTCCCTGAATACCACCTCTGGTGAGATTCCTGTACGCACAGAGATGGAAAGATTCGACACCACCCACTGTGGAGGAATGATTGGTGAATTTGACAGATTTTGCTGAAATTGATAAATTGACTTCTTTGATGACAGAAAAGACATTATCTACACCTATTGGTGACTGGAAGACTCTAATGGCATTTTTCCGTAAAAATGAACTTATGATTTATGGTTTCGATGACATGACAGGGTAGATTATAGAAAGAAGAGAGTCATTATTTAACTTGAGAGAAAGAGGTTAAAATGTCACCTTACCTCACCTGGCTATGAAGAATATCGAGAGCAACTATATTTTTTTCCTTCAAGATTTTTTCCCCCTTTTCTTCCATTTTTTTTCCTTTTTAAATGTTGTTCTTCCTGCAGCTTTTATCTTCTTGTTTAAAAGGTTCCAGCAAATATACTGTATAAAGGCAATGAAATTGGAGCAATTCTAGACTTACATCATAAATGGTAGCTCAGTCCAGATTTCTGAAAAACCAGAGAGGAGAGACTGGAAATGTACAAAGAGACACTTAATGAACTCGGCGGTAACAAATGGTCGATCTGAGGTTTCTATGGCAGTTTCCAAGATTCTGCCCCATGTCTCTTTATCAAAGTGCTTACTTCCTTACTTGAGGTCCAAAGTTTGGCAGAAGACACTTAGAATTGAAGGGTTCGAGTAGATTTTGGAGACCCTCGAGTCTAGGATGCCCTATTTGCACACATCTTGGGCATAGGCAGATTCTATTTAGAGAAGAGTTGATAATCTGAAGACTACCAGGATCAGAGATGGTATTCAGCAGGTTCTGACCAGTTCTAGAGAACTGGTAGTGGAAATTTTGAGTAGTTTGGAGAATCAGCAAATACCACCTCTGACTGGCCCGGCCAACCCCATCTATTCTCTGCCTCTTGAGTCCCAGCTGATGGGCTGGGTCTTCTTTGGTTGCCCTGCACAGGAAAACAGAGCTGGGAAGCAGGTTAGTGGGGTGGGGAGGGAATGGGTATTTTGCAGTATCCTTCCCCTGCCACGCCCACCAAGCCATGCCCACCAAGCCACATCACACCACGCCCACCAAGCCATACCCACAGAACCAGTATTAAAAAAAATTGCATCCCATCAATGATATTGGTTTGGCATGTGCTCACATCTAAATCAGGATTTCCAAACTTCTAGATCAGACATGTCCAATCCATGGCCAATGGACCTCATGCACCCCTGGAGTAATACAGCCCCACAAGACTTTAACATTATTATGTCATTTGTATACATGAATTTCTTTTTTTCTTTTTCTTTCTTTCTCTCTCTCTCTTTCTTTTTCATTCTTTTTCCCTCTCCTTCCTTCCTTCCTTCCATCCTCCCTCCCTCTCTCTCTCACTTCCTTTCTCTCTCTCTCTTTCTTTCTTTTCCCTTCTTTCTCCCTCTCCTTCCTTCCTTACATCCTCCCTCCCTCCCTCCCTCTATCTCTCTCTTTCTTTCTTTTTTTCTTTCTCTATCAAACTTCTTAACCGCCATTTTTTCATGGAGGGGCTCTAATGAGGAGCACCAGATTGGGGAAGCTGATCTAAACCACAGGTGCAATAAACTGGAGGTGTGAAAGAACGGTGTGCCAATATGAATTATTATTGTTGCTATTAGTGATGAAGCACAGTTAAGTAAATTTGGGGCAACTCTGCCAGCCTTTTTTTAGTACCATAAATTTGCTGTTGTTGCTTGATATGTGGATGTCTACCAGGGTGAGAGGCATCCACTTTCAAATGGGCAAGCACTTTGCATACATTATTTCACTGTAATCAACACAGCAACCCTGGCTTATAAATCTGTATTATGGTCTCCTCCATTACTGGTAGGAGGACTTAGGCTGGAAGCCCTGTTTGTTTCTACCTTGTTCCAAGGTGACTCCATTACAAATAAGAACTAAAAGCAGGAGAGTTTTGATTTTCTTACTGTCACCTAATTACACCTGCATAAAAACAAATAGCAAGATGGGATTTATGGATGGGGATTCATACAGGTCATCACAGTTGTTAAGTTGTGATGGTCGTAAACAGGTTGATTTTACAACCATTTTTGTGGGGGTTTGTTAAGCAAATGTCACAGATAGTAAATGAATGAATGGTTTGTGATGGGCACAGTTTTACCAAAGAGCAGGTGTAAATGCCTGTTTATGGCAAAAAACATCATAAAAGGTCACTTGATTGTAGGACATAAATGCGATCACATTGCAGAGTTTGGTCACATGATGGGAGCAGCCATCAGAATTTCAAATCCTAGTCATAAGTACCTTAAAGGTAGTTGTCACAACTTCAAGTGGTCGCTAGGCATCCAACTATAAGTCAAGAATTACCTGTACGTTGTGCTAAACATAACCCTGACTGGAATAAACCACAATTGGCCACATTTGTGCAACAATATATTGAACTATACAATTTGATTTACTAAGCTTCATTCGTACAATGCACTGACTATACCAAAAAACAAACAGACCATAATATGACTTTAACATCATATATGAACCCAGTGATGGTAATACTGCCCTGCTAGCCTTCTCTTCTAATTTCCCATCCTTTGTTCCTTTGTTTCTGCAGAAAATCTGATGGCAAATGTAATACAATTAAATGTTTACATTCACCTTTCTTTTCTCTTCTTTCAGGAAATATGTGCAATGATTCTAACACAACCCCAAACTTTGGAGACCTCTACCATGTCAAAGGTAAGTTTCATCCAGGGTGCCTTTTGGGAAGCCACTGACCAAAAACTTCTTAATCATTTTCCTTGATAGTGACTAAAAAAAAAAATCAGACTTGCATAACTCAGCCACCCAATTTTTAAACCATATTTGTTATTTTTCCTTGCAATTTCTTTTAAATAGAATAGGAGCTCTGAATCAGTTGGCACACCTCTGCTTTATAAGCCACAGTAGATAGCTATCACCATGGAGTTAATGCTCTGGGCATCTCTCCAAGCAGCATAAAGCACAACTGGGAATGTGCAAATATCTTTTGGACCGGGGTGTCCAGCTTGGCAACTTAAAAACCTGTAGCCTTCAACTCCCAGAATTCCGCTTCCGGCTTCTCAGAGTTGAAGTTCACAAGTCTTAAAGTTCCCAAGGTTGGACATCTATTACCCTTTGGATATTGGTGATTACACCTGTTGGCTTTCTGAAAGCATATCATATAATTCTCCTATTTGGTCTTCTTAGCTTCAAGTGGAGAATCTGTGACCTTCAAGATGTTCTTGAGTGCCAGATCTCATCAGCCCTAGCTATCACAATCCTTGGTTAAAGACAATTGCGGTTATAACTCCACAACCTCTGGAAGCTTGTCCATTCCTGTTTTAAAGATAATGGCTTAATGTCTTCCCTGAGAACAAGTAATTTGTTAAGGATCAAACTTTCAAAATAGATGCAATCAGGTTCACAGGATGCATTAAGTCCTGGTTTGTTTAACTGGTTTGCTGGCTTCGTACCACACTCTAAGCCATGTTCATAAACAACAGTGATTAGGTTCACTCAATCTGCTACACCATTATTCACCAACTTACTGTAATGTGAAAATCCCCCAGTGAAGAACTAGAAGAGGCCAATGTTTCAAGGTTCAAGTTTTATTGCACGCCAAGACCATACAATCACCTTGAAGAAAATAATTGGCCATCTGGAACTGTGATGTGTGCACACTTCACACTGCCTTTTCTTTCACACACTTTTCTCAATTGTGGAATGTTGTGTTACCTTTTGCCACCATTTTTTATGAAGTACCCAGTTTGGGCTCTTTTTAGGACTGTGGGTTATGGGTGCGTTGAAAATGCAAGTTTGCACCATCAAAAATTTGACTGGAAGCGAAATGTAGTCTGTAATTGGCATCTTCCCCTTAGCCAAATGGAAAAGGGTGGAGAGCTTGTCAAAATCCTGCTAACCTACCTGGGCAGAGTTTTCTCCGGGGAGTGCCTTGTTTTAAACTTCTTCCTTTATTTTTTTGTTTACCTGCATAGTTTTTTTTGCAAATCTCAAGAGAGATCTAGAGGCACCCAGATTTATTGAGCTTGGTGTATGTTTCCAGGAATGAGTTTATCTGGCGACAGAATCTTAAATTTTGCTGAATCAAAGGGTGGGAGTCATTAATACATAGCAGAACAGCCTTTGGAAGCTTTGTTACCAGATACATCCCTTCCTTCCACAGGAGGGAAGTTGGGCGAAGTGCCTCTTTTGCTTTGGCACGTGAACATACGGGTTCACAGATGTTAATAGCTGCCTGGCAAATCCCCATTGTGTAGCTTCACTCTAGGCTGAAAAGCCACATGTGGACAAAAAGCAATTACCCAGCTTTATAACTTCACATTTTCCTTGGGAGTGGATATGCAAGCAGAGGAAGCTTTTATGATATGGTTTCTTTCACGTCTTCCTGGAATATTTGTCCAATCGACAGGGTAATCTGCCTGTTCTGTACAGTAGCTTCTATGCCGAAGGAAGAAACCGTGGGGGATTTCATTTTTAAGATTCATTTTTAAGATTCAGCTCAAGTAATGCTCAATTTAGGACTACAATTGGAATTAGAATTTCCATTGCTATGCAAGGTATTTATTAAGCAATTCACATCTCATTTTGCAACCTTTTTTTGTGCCATATCTGTTAAATGAATCACTGCGGTTGTAATGGTTGCAATTGTTAAATGGATCATGCGGTCATTAATCAAATCTGGCTCCCCTCCCCCCAATTGACTTTATTTGTCAAAAGCCACCTGGGAAAGTTGCAAGTGCTGTTCACATGACCCTGGGACATGGCAACCGTTGCAAATACATGCCAGTTGCCAAGCACTCAAATTTTGATCATGTGACTGTAGGGATGCTGCAACGGTCAACAAATGCGAGGACCAGTTGTAAGACTTGACTGATTTCTAATCCAAAATATTTTAAACAGGCACTGGTTTCCCTTGTTTTCCAGGATATTTTGTTGGGAAATCCCTGAAGATCTCAAAAAAGAGCTGTCATACCACCAACCTCACAACTGCTCTGAGTCAGTTGTGGCACATATGAGATTGATTGATTTATATACCTCCCTAATCAGCAAAAGACTTTCCAGAGCTTATGTGATGCCTGGTTATTAGAACTGTGCATCAAAGCATGGTAGCCCAGGGAATTGGCTCTGAGATTGTATTCTGGGGGTAGGGGAGGATTGAGGATAGAGGTATTTGGGTGGTAAGAGTGGAAGGATGGATCAAGGGAGACTTGCTATCCTCCCAATCAAGCCTCCACCTGTCAAATTGACAGATTTATGAGTGCATATTTAGGGAGAGAGAAAGATAGGACTGACAGCTTTTGGATCAATTCTGATATTGAGGGAACCCCTTTGCAACCTGTTTTGAGTTATTTAATAAAAGTTAATCCCTTTTCCTTGTCTAAATGCCAACAGAGTCCTGCTCTGTATCCTTCTCACGTTCCACCTAGTCCTGTTATCTCAGATATATATATAGAGAGAGGAAGAAATTGTGGAGAAATACAAAGGCATTTCTACATCAATAGTTCCTTTGGGTCAACAAGATTTTGCCTGAATTTTGTAGAAAGAAAGAAAGAAAGAGTAGGATCGCCATAAGAGCGAGAGAGAGGATGTTTGGCTTAACATCATAAAAGCACAACAACATTAACCGTAAAGATAGATTTCATTAATCACATGCTAGGAGACTACTTCAGCTTGCTTTTCTTTAAAATAAAATGTAAACATGTAATTTATATTTATGAACAAGGCAGTTGCACAAATAACGGATATTCCCACCTAGCCAGGGGCCTTTAGTATAACCACGGTGGAGCCTGAGAGATTACTGAACACATTTTTTTTTAAAGAAAATCAAATGCCAAAACTAGACATGCCCTATTTCCAAAGAAAATGGCATGCAAATTAATAGCTGTCAATGCAACATCTCTCCTTGTGTCACTGACTAATTGGAAAAGTTGTTCCCAGAGTTTAAGATTGAACAGACCTTTGTGAAGTTCATGTTTTTCGTTTGTGATAGAAAATACCACTTTCCTTGTTTTTCAGCTAAATTGCTTGTTAATGTTAAGAAAACGAAGTTTGAAAAAGGGATTTTTGTGGGTCTTTTACATAAGTAGGCTCAACAATTCTTACATAAAGGTGGGCTCTGCCTGTATATCTATCTATATATCTATCCATCCATCCATCTATCTATTTATCTATCATCTGTCTGTTTGTCTATCCATCCATCCATCCATCCATCCATCCATCCATCCAGGAAGTCCTCAATTCACGACCACACTTGGGACCAGAATTTCTGTTGCTAAGCAAGGTGGTTGTTAAATGAATCACACCCAATATTTTGACTTTTTTGCCATGGTTGTTAAGCAAATATTTAGAGTTCGTAAGTGACGTGGGCGTAAAGACTCCAAACTAATGATACATTTGACCCCATCCTCGGGCTCAGCCTGGTCATCTTCTACAATCAATAACCATAAATTTGGCAGTGTTTCCACCTAGACTTTTTCTATATCAAATGTTTGATTGATCCAAGTCACACTTTGTGTCCTGCAGGAGTCATCACTCTCCCTTATGCTGAAATCGAAGAGCCGTTTGAAGCCTGGTACAACCTGACTGGGAACAAGAGTCGCATTGAATATTATAATGGTAAGAAACTGGTGCCTTCATGAAATAAAAAGAGAAGAACCAGCAGTTTTAGCTTTGGGGAGAGAAAACCTCCAAAAGGGGTCAAACAGGTCAATGGTAAATCAGGATATGTTGACCCAACTCTGAAGAATTACAATTTATTGATTAATCTGTTGCCTGTTTCTCCGAAAGCAACCCTGGGTGAAATAAAACAACTACTATCAAGACAATAGATATAAAATTTCACATTGAAAGATAAATATTAGAAGAGGAATATACAAACCCCATGCAAAGTTAGGATAAAATGACCACCTGTCTCTGATTCCCTGGGATCTGCCAAAAGTACAAAACAAAATAGAGAGCCAAATCCCACTTCCATCTAGCACTGAAGCTGTTACCTAGTTGCATAATGAAATGCCTGCAAGAAAACAACTAAGCTCAGAGAGCACCCTCAGTTGTCATTCTCCTTCTCCCTCTCTCCAAACCCCACTCCCTTCTAGCACTGATGATGTTATCTAGTTTGGTAATGAACTGTCTGCAAGAAAGCCATCAAGCTCAGAGAGCACCAAGCTCCCTAAAGTCAGAATTATCTCTTTCTCTCAAGAATAGGGGGTGAAACAAAAACAAATGCAATATATGGAATAACTTTGGTTTTCTTGCACATGGTAGAGGGTTGGTCAAGTGAGTCCCCCTTGGGGAGGGGGACATTGAAGGGGGAGCAATGTTCCCTCTTAAGAACTTTGTCCCCCCCAGGGGACAACCACAGAAGGCAACATCATACATTATGACAGTTTCATTGCTTTACTGGATGAGGGCTTGAATACAATGGTCCCTTTAGGTTTCTCAGTCTTCACCCAGCTAATTAAAGGTACACTTTGCTGATCAATATGATTTTCCCAACTAATGTAAGGTTATCTAAATTATTAATCAGATAGTTAGCAAAGTTGCCTTGTAGCTTCTTGCTTCCAGAAAGATTTCTTGGGGTGGAGAAGACAGTGAGCAAAGCAGCAGGCAAAAAGCGGCAAAGAAAATAGCTATTGATTAGAGGAGCTCTTACACACTACATGCCCACCCTTACACACTTCACACACATATACCCAGAGCAGAGCACCTCCTTTCTTCCTCCTAATTTATAACCTGAAAGTATTGGATTCCCATCAATCATGTTGTGAAATATTGCTACAATTTAGAAGACAGTTAAAGGAGTGGTTGAGTTGGTTTCGGTTGGCTTTTGATCACAGACATCATGATTCATGGCACAGTACTGTTATCCATCAGATGTACTTTGACCTTCTCCTGATCTTTGATAGATCATTGTTGTAATCCACTCTAGCATTTCCATGCAGGTGTGTGTTCAGATGGACATATTATTTCATCAAGCAAGAATTTGTCATGATTGCAAGAAATGGTTGTTTGCTGGACCAACCTTCCAAGAGGGTGCAATGTGTTCAAACAGATTCTTCCCGATTCAGCTCGTCCTTGGCTTTGGATTATCCAAAGAACCTTTCCCATAGTTTGTTCCAACTGCAGAGTTCTGTGATTAACATTGAATTAGCAGGACAACTCCAGCCCAGTGAGAACCAGATAGAACGAACACAGCAAGTCTAGAGGTCAATGCTTGATGTCACTGTAAAAGGCTCCAATTTAAATTGATGGAGTGCCCCTGCCAAGGCCTGGTTCACAAATCGTGTTAAAGTGTACGTAGTTTGGACTTTGGGTGATGGATGAGTCTTGCCTTTGGGACTTAAAACTTAGTTTATGACTTTTTATGTTATGTAAAGCTAGCCAGTTGTGTCCCAAAGGTGCTTTTTCAGGAGGCACCTGGACTTTCTTGTAGTGCTCCTGGTATCCTCAGGTTCACTCAGGTGACCCTGAGGAGACAGAGAAATCTCCAAGTGCTTCAACGACCCTCTAAAAGGATGCAAATGACCAGCCACCTGCAAGGAATATAAATCCTTCCATTCCCCACTATCCAGTCAGAGCTGAAGAAGTTTCTTGGATGAGAAGTGAAATGTCTTTAAAAGAAAAAACAAGAAAGTCCAGTTGCCTCCTGAAAAAGCACTTTTGGGACAACCATGATCTGGAATGACTGAGAATTTCTACAGACTTTTAGCCAGTTGTGATATTTTTTTCCAAACTATGGTGACAAAAGGCTTCCCTCTCTACGTATGTACATGCAATCTGCATTCACTGCTAAACATTTGAGATGTTCTCCCTCAACCAAGGTTCAGAAGTTGAACCTGGTCAGCATAGGGAGACAACAGAGCACATGGAGGCAACTAAGCTAATGTCCGATGTAAAGAATCAGGACTATCCATTAGATTGCAGCATAGAAGATTCATTCAAACCTATACACAGGTATCTTGTCAACTACAATTCAACACTAAATTGGTGCCAGATAAGAATCAACAGAATTCAGGAGAGGTTGAACTTGAACCACTTGTGGGAATGTAACAATTCTAAGTTGATGACACACTTATCTCCGCCCTCAGCTCTGCCTACTCTTCTCGTACAGCTAGGTGACCCTAAGGAGAATTCCCCAACTCATTAAGCCTGATAGGAGACTCATCTGGAGAAGATGTTTCAGATATGGGCGTCTCTCTAATGAGTTATTATTTCATCTCTGCATGAAAAGGCAGTTAGGCAACAGAAGATCTAATGAATGTGTTGCATGGAAGAAAGAGGTTTAGGTCTAATCCTCTAATTTATTATGGAACAGGAAGTCTCTTTGGATCATGTTTGATGACTTCAAGGACCCATCCATGTAGTTTTACAACCAGTAACAACTTCCCGGCTTGCCATTAAGTTCTTTTGATGTGTTTTTTAAAACTTGCCAGTCCAGCCAAAAGCTTTGGGACTTCCTGGTGGCTTACCTTGCAACCCAATTTTCTCTCATCAGCCAAGGCTGACTAAATGCTACCAGCTAGATGAGCAGTGTTTCCCCTGGAACGCAACGAAGGGGAAAGACTAAATGCGATGGGATTCCCTGTTCCTGGATATGAAAATGGTATTTTCCCAAATATTCCAGAACAAGAGCAAATACTAATAATTTCTGAGATATCATGTAAGTGATTAGCATGATCTCCATTAAAGCAAGGCCTGGTTAGAAAGAAGATCAAAGGGAACAGGGAGGCCTGCTTTAACAATTTTTAAAGAATTTTTTAATATGGCAAAAGTATTTTAAAACCACATTCCACCTGGGAAAACTTTTCCAAAGTGTTCTTCTCCTTTGACACAATTTAATGGAACAGAGTTGGAAGGGACCTTGGAGGTCTTCTAGTCCAACCCCCTGCTTAGGTAGGAAACCCTACACCACTTCAGATAAATGGTTGTCCAACATCTTTTTAAAAACTTCCAGTGTTGGGGCATTCGCAACTTCTGGAGGCAAGTTGTTCCACTGATGAATTGTTCTCTCAGTCAGGAAATTTCTCCTTAGTTCTAAGTTGCTTCTCTCTTTGATTAGTTTCCACCCATTGCTTCTTGTCCTGCCCTCAGGTGCTTTGGAGAATAGCTTGACTCCCTCTTCTTTGGGGCAGCCCCTGAAGAAATTGGAACACTGTGATCATGTCAATAGAAAGTTATATTTCCGCTGTCCTTCCTAAAATCCTCGGAGATTGCAAGGTGCTTCTTGGAGATTGCAAGATAAAAGCTGTTTTGTTTGAGCAATGAGAGGCTGAACCAGAGCATGAGTGCAACAATACTTTATTTTACAATAAAGGGCTGACCGTGCTTGCCAAGCCTGGAACTGGCTCGCAGCAATCAGCAACCGGTTGGACCCCGCAGCCTGCTTTTATAGCTGGCTGCTGGGGAGAGCCAACCAATGGGAATGGGGGAATAACGCCCACGTAAAGTGAGTGGACCTGAGTGAGAACTCCTTGAGTCCTCAGGACATAACAAAAGCCTTGTTTGGAAGTATAGCTTTGGAGAATAGCTTGACTCCCTCTTCTTTGTGGCAGCCCCTGAGATATTGGAACACTGCTATCATGTCTCCCCTAGTCCTTCTTTTCATTAGACTAGACCTACCCAGTTCCTGCAATGGTTTTTCTTCCTTTCATCCAGTTGAATGAGAAGTGAAAGAAAAACAGCAGGGATGGGCTGCTGGGGGTTTGCAGGGATTTAGGAGAACCTCTAAATAAGATTCTGTGCAGTTTGGAGAACCCCAAAATCCCACTCCTGGCTGGGCCCACCCACCTGCCCCTCCCAGGAGTCCCCACGTGGCCCATTTTGGATGCAGGTAAGTGCAGGGTACGCACGGAGGCTTGGGGAGGGCGAACAACAGGCCTCCCCAAAGTTCAGGAAGGCCGGAAATAACTGGCTTCCAGTGAGTCTCCAGAGCCTAGAGAGGCCATTTTCACCCTCCCAGAGGATCAAGGAAAGCCTCCGGAGCCCAGGGAGGGCAAAAAAACACCCCCTCCCCTGCCGTGGTGCAGGAGGCCGACTAGACCACGCCCACCATGGCCACGTCCACCCAGCAATCAGGCAGAGATCCCTTTGCTAAAATTTTTGAAGCCCACCCTTGAAAAACAGGCCTTGCTTCTCTGTTGCACTCTCGTTGGCCTTGGGGATTGAGGGTGTAGAGAAATCCAGAATCGGAGGGAAATTGTGATTTAGAACATGCATGGGTCTGCTCCACATTATGTTTTGCCTTTTGAATTGGGATCTCAGCACAACTATGTGGCTTCCTCGGAAGGAGTTTCAGCAGACGACTTCCTGCTACGTGATCCCTTTGCTTGGGCAAGCCAGAGATCCTTAGTGCACGCGCAAAGTGCGTGCGTTGTGGCTTAGCCACGTTTCTCTCCTTCTTCTTTTTGGTTTACTGTTGCTCATGTTGTCGTTTCTACAGGCCAGGTGGTGACGCTGCAGCTTGGATGTTTAGAGCCCTATGGTGCTTTGTTCAAGATTACACCAGCCACCACGGAAAAAGTGGTCAACATTCAGAAGTGCTTCCTGTTAAATGGCACCAAGGAAAGTCAAGTGAAGCCACAAGGGGTCTTTCCCGACATGAAAGATTTCAAGGTGAGTCAACGATGCCCGGCAGCTGGAGAAGAAAAGGAAGTCCAAGACTTCAAGCAGGACTTGAAAACAAAGTTGACTGGTTGATCTTTGGAAAGAATAGAATAGGATAACAGAGTTGGAAGGGACCTTGGAGGTCTTCTAGTCCAACCCGCTGCCTAGGCAGGAAACCCTATACCATTTCAGACAAATGTTATCCAACATCTTCTTAAAAACTTCCAGTGTTGGAGCATTTACAACTTTTGGAGGCAAGTTGTTCCGCTGATTGATTGTTGTAACTGTCAGGAAATTTGTCCTTAGTTCCAGGTTGCTTCTCTCCTTGATTAGTTTCCACCCTTTGCTTCTTGTCCTGCCCTCAGGTGCTTTGGAGAATAGCTTGACTCCTTCTTCTTTGGGGCAGCCCCAGAGATATTGGAGCACTGCTATCATGTCTCCCCTAGTCCTTCTTTTCATCAAACTAGAACATTACCCAGTTCCTGCAACCGTTCTTCATATGTTTTAGCCTCCAGTCCCGTAATCATCTTCGTTGCTCTTCTCTGCACTCTTTCTAGAGTCTCAACAGCTGCTGTCTCTTGGTTTGTGAAGTAGGCCACAGTATAGGTAGCCTTCAACTTACAACAGTTCATTTAGTGACCATTCAAGCAGAGGTGGTATTCAGCAGCTTTTGACTGGTTCCGGAGAACCTGTAGTGGAAATTTTGAGTAGTTCGAAGACCTGGCAAATGCCACCTCTGACTGGCCCCGCCAACCCCATCTCTTCTCTGCCTCCCATTGAGTCCCAGCTGATTGGGATTTTGTTGCCCTGCACAGGAGAATGGAGCTGAAAAGCAGGTTAGTGGGGTGGGGAGGGAATGGGAACTTGCAGTAACCTTCCCCTGCCATGCCCATCAAGCCACACCCACAGAACCAGTAGTTAAATATTTTGAATCCCACCACTGCCAAGGTTACAATGGCATTTTGTTCAGTGGTATTGTAACTTTGAATGGTCACTAAACAAGGTAAGTGAAGGACTACCTACTTACGTCCACTTTTCACACTTATGACCATTGCAGCATTCCCATGGTCACGTGATTTACAATTGGATGTTTGGCAGCTGGTTCATATTTATGACGGTTGCAGTGTCCCCAGGCCATGTAAGCGTGAAAATCTTTGGCAACCTTCTGACAAGCAAAGTCGAGGGGAAGGCAGGTTCATTTACTAATTCAACAACTGCAGTGATCCACTTAACAAATGTGGCAAGAAGAGTTGTAAAATGGGACAAAGCTCCCTTTAAAAACTCCCTTAGCAACATAAATTCTTAGCTCAATTGTGATTATAAGTCAAGGACTACCTGCATCTGGGTTATCACATCATACTAAGCCATAACTTGTGGTTATTTTAATCACTGAGTCATGTCCGACTCTTGGCGACTTTACAGACAAATGGTCTCCATGTTCTCCAACTTTCCTATGTTGTGAGAGCCCAACCATTCCAGTGGTGGGATTCAAGTTTTTTTACTACCAGTTCTGTGCACATGGCTTGGTGCGCGTGGCATGGATTGGTAGGTGGGGCTTGTGGGCGTGGCAGGGGAAGGTTACTGCAAAATCCCCATTCCCTCCCCACCCCACTAACCTGCTTTCCAGTTCCGTTCTCCTGTGCAGGGCAGCAAAAGTCAGAGGTGGGATTTGCCGGTTCTCCAAACTGCTCAAAATTTCCACTACCGGTTCTCCAGAACTGGTCAGAACCTGCTGAATACCACCTCTGGAACCAGCCCACCATGTCTCTGCCAGTGAACAGGGAGCTCAGGAGGGCCGGGTGTAGCCCTCCTGAGCTCTGTTTTCACGAACAGAGGGTTGTAGAAGGCTGTTGCCTCTGAAAACAGATATTGGGAGCCCATTTTCACTGGCAGAGTGCTCAGGCCACCACACGTACTCCCAACACGAGTGACGTCAAGGTGGCCATGTCTACTCTGGCCACGCACGCACACACACACACACACACACACACACACACACACAAGGTGAAACACAACTCTGATGCGACCCTCATTAAAATCAAGTTTGACACCCCTGATTTAGGCAATAAACAACCCATGCCAGCCATTTAAGTAGGATGTGTATTTTTTTTTCCTAACGTTGGAGGTCTTCTCCATGCAAAGCAGATCTTCAGTCTTTCTCCAGCTCACCTGCTTTTGGAGATCAGTCCATCTTCGATGGCTCTGAGAATGACTTCACTTTCAGCGCAGCCCGGTTCTTTCAACAGACCATGGGAAACACTCATATCCCAGCCCTCCTCTCTTTCGATAGGCCTGAGAAAGCTGTCCAGCCCATGGACAGATCACATACAGCCAGCTCCGCCTGCCCTTTGCCTTAGTGAGTCAGCCACTTCCTTCTATGGCAAAGCCACTCTTCTCCTGTGCCAAGTTCCTAATAAAATTGCAAGGCAGGTTCCAGCCAGATGCTGTTGTCTTGACAGTAATGAAATCTCTTTTCTGCAGTGGCTGCTCGAAGTGGCATTTGTCACACACATCGGATGGCAAGCTGTTATTTGACCTATGCCAAAACGCTGTCTAAGAGAGCATGAGGCTGCAGATGTGGACGAGAAACTTGGCAGTGTTGTTTTGCTAGTTTGCTAATGAAGGACTCAAACGCCTCCTTGCCTTCAGAGACCCCCTCACCCATTTGAATCATGGCAGCCTATCTTTCTGATAAAGATAAAGGCAAAAGTTTCCCCTGTCCAGTCGTGTCTGATTCTAGGAGGCGGTGCTCCAGAGGTGGTATTCAGCCAGTTCTGACCAGTTCTGGAGAACCAGTAGCGGACATTTTGAGTAGTTCAGAGAACCGGCCAATACCACCTCTGACTGGCCCCGCCAACCCCATCTATTCTCTGCCTCCGGAGTCCCAACTGATCGGCTGGGTCTTCTTTGGTTGCCTTGCACAGGAGAACGGAGCTGGAAAGCGGTTTAGTGGGGTGGGGAGGGAATGGGCATTTTTCAGTAACCTTCCCCCAGGAGTGGAGAGGGAATGGAGATTTTGCAGTATCCTTTCCCTGCCACGCCCACCAAGACATGGCCACCAAGTCACGTGATGCCCATCAAGCCACGCCCACAGAACCGGTAGTAAAAAAAACTTTGAACACCACCACTGGTGCTCATCTCTGTTCCTTAACTGAGAGAATGAATGTTGTCTGAAGATGCTTCCGTGGTCATGTGGTCAGCATGATTATATACATGAAGGTGCATGGAATATGGTTACCTTCCCACCAAAGTAGGACTTTAGAACATAGAATCATTGGGTTGGAACGGACTTCACAGGTCTTCTTGTGCAACCCCGTGCTCCAGCAGGAAACCCTATACTATTTCAGCCTAATGGTTGTCCAATCTCTTCTTTAAAACCTCCAGTGATGGAGTACCCACAACTTACACAGGCAAGCCATCCCATGGATTAATTGTTCTCTCCGTCGGCAACTTGTTCCCTTGTTCTACTATTACAATTACCATTCTATCATTATTCTGCTGTTCTAGTTCTGTTTATTACTATAAGCCTCATTTACAAAGCCACAGGGGCCAAAACAAGGCATCAGCCAACCTTGTCTCACACCCAAGAAAAATCAGTCCTTTGATAGAAGCAGTTCCCCGTCTACAGGAACCTACCTATTTATCTACTCACATTTGCATGCTTTTGAACTGCTAGGTTGGTAGGAGCTGGGGCAAGTAATGGGAGCTCACCCCATCAAGCAGGGTCCAGTTATCAAACCCAAGTTCAGCGTCCTTAACCACAGATAGAGCTGCCTTAGAAGTTGGATTCCTTGGCTACTTGGGATGTTGGCTATTTGGCTGGAAGCTTGACTGTCACCGGTAGTAAACCCAAGAACCCATCAGAGATGGAGCGACTCTTTGACATGTCCAAGGTGTGTTGTGGGTTCCTTGTGACCTGCTCTCACTTGGTTTCCCTTTAGAGGAGAAAGCATTCAGGATAATGTTGATAACCTGCATTCCACTTACAAATGAAGTTGGGGTGAAGGAACAGTTAATTCAGTATGAGAGCTCCTGTTTCCTTTGTTGAGGTGCCAAACTCAACACCTGGTATCACTAGCGGTCATTACTTCTGTGTGGATTAAATCAGCCATAAGAAGTTCTTCTTCCAGAAAATTGAAATGCCAATTGAAAAAGACAACTAGGGGTGTGTGACTCCTGTTGGCTGAAAGACCACCCAGGTTTCTCTATATAGGATGCCAAGGCAACACCCCAAAGGAAGATGAAAACCGAGGAGAAGACAGAGGATTTAAAATATAAATTAAGTTCCCCAAACCTCTGCAAAGATGATTCCCATTGTTTCTTAAAACCATTCTCTAAACTCTTAACAAAGCAGAAGAGTGAAACATTGAGCTCTGGATATATTACCCTAAGCGGTCATGTGGCTTTAGTTTACCACGATGTTTTAGCCTAGCTATATTGTGATTGGCAAGCCATGAATTCTTGTGCAGTAACTTGAGTGACCTTAGTCAATTGTGGAGGGTTTTTCTCCCAGTATATTAGAATTAGAATAGAATAGAGCTGAAAGGGACCTTGGAGGTCTTCTAGTCCAACCCCCTGCTCAAGCAGGAGACCCAATACCACCTCAGACAAGTGACTGTCCAGTCTCTTCTTAAAAACCGCCAGTGATGGAGTGCCCACGATTTCTTAAGGCAAGCTGTTCCACTGGTTAATTGTCCTAACTGTTAGGGAGTTTCTCCTTAATCCCAGGTTGCTTCTCTCTTTAATTAGTTTCCAATCATTGTTTCTTGTCTTGCCCTCCGGCGCTTTGGAGAACAATTTGGCCCTCTCTTTTTTGTGGCAGCCCCTCAAGTACTGGAATACTGCTATCATGTCACCCCTAATTCTTCTTTTCTTTAGACTAGCCAGACCCAAATCCTGCAGCCATATAGAGTACAATATACAATATACATGTACATGTACATATACATAGACACACACACACACACACACACACACACACACACACACACAGAGAGAGAGAGAAAGAGAGAGAGAGAGAGAGAGAGAGATACAATGACAAGAACCAGGGTTGGTGCAGTATGCAACCCTGTCATGCCCCTGATGGAGACTGACTCCGAGGGAGAGGAGGAACAGCCAACAGGGAGTGGAAGTGTGGCTCTGGAGGTTGTGGAGGAGGCTGGGGAAGGGCAGAGGCCAGCTGGGCAGTCCGAGGAAGCTCCAGGCCCATCCCTTCTCCATCCTAGGGCACACAGGGAGGTGAGGATAAGGGAGAGACGTGGTCTACTGGGGAGGAGAAGGCCAAGTTGATCTTCTTCATGGGCTGCAGCTGAGACAACTGGATAAGAGGACATACATGCATACGGGCGAGTGCTGGAAACAAAGCGTGGAAATATCTCTAGTTTATGGTTCCTCTCTGAGTTTGGCGTCCTTCCCAGTGTGTGTTCTGATATCTGTGGATGTCTTCCAGCCCTTATCTTGCCTGGTTTGTGTTGTGTTTTTTTTTTACTCTTTATGATTTAAACGGCATTTCCTCCTTCTTGTAACTGCTTGTGTGGGAGTTTTTTGTCTCCAGTCAAGGATATTTGGAGCTTGGAAGCAAAGTGAAGGAATAAAAGGGGCTTCACCTGTTTTTTGTGACTGTTTATTTTGTATCCCACCCTGGGTCATCACAAATCCCAATCAAAAAGCTTGACTGGAACAACGCAGTTTGAGGGGGTCCTCGGTGCTCTTTGAACTTGGTTGTTTTTTTGCAGAAGTTTCATTATCCAAACTAGGTAACATCATTACTGCTAGTTTGGGCAATGAAACATCTGCAAGAAAACAACCAAGTTCAAAGTGCACCGAGGACCCCTCATTTCAACCCTGAGCTACAAAGGTTCTCCTTTTATTGGTACAAGGCAGTTTCCCCTGTGCCCCTTTCAAAGGCTCCTCTCTGTTGTTTCTCCAGTTTGTAAGAGAAGAATACTTCAAAGGCATATATACCGCCGTATGGCAGAGGATAACCAACTCGGGCAAGAAGAAGAATGTCTATACGATGTGGGTGACAAATGCCAGCTGTGGAGTCACCCCGGTGCATTACCAGATGAAAGGTTACAACAACTTACTGGGATCCCACTACGACAAGTATGAAATCAATTACAGCGATTTCTCCAACAGTTTCCCAGCTTCCATCTTTGTCCTGAAATCAAATGGTGAGTCAGAAGGATTCCTCTCCTGCCTGTGTTCCAAAATATTTGGGGAGGCGGCCCTGGAGCTTTTGGGCATTGTGTGAAGGGTGACTACTGTGGTTGCAAACTTCACAGCTCTGCAGGGATCAGAACAGTGGTGGGATTCAACTATGTTTAACCACCGGTTTGGTGGGCGTGGCTTGGTGGGCGCACTTTGCATGCACAGAGGGTTTCATACTGACCTTCTCCTGCAATCCTGCGTTCTCCCGGTGTATTCAACAGCTGATTGCCGTGCAAAGCAGCTGAGCTTCAAAACCAGGAAATAATGGTCAGTATAGAGCCTGGGCAGGCAGGAGGGCCCAGCAGCTGATCGTCAGAGCAAACCAGTTTGCCCACGGATGATCCTCAGAACTACCAGTTCGGCCGAACCGGGCTGAACCGGTAGAATACCACCCCTGGATCAGAATCGTGTATCATCACGCCCAAGCAGACCCTGTTCTGAGAGAGAAAAACTGAAGCTAAAGGATAAACTCTCAAGTTACTGGTAAATCTCCGTGTTGCATTGGATGGCAACCAGGTGGTTCTAGTATGCAGAATGAACTGAAAGATTGAGAACAAAAGGGTAGAGCAGGGGTGTCGAACTCAAGGCCTGGGGGCCGGATCCAGCCCGTGGGGTGCATAGATCTGCCCTGAAAACAGCGAAGGACTGGCCCGCAGTGTTTCTGCCAGTGAAAATGGAGCTGGGGAGGGCTGCCTATGAAAACAGTCTCCCGAGCTCCGTTTTCGCTGGCAGAAGATTTGCAGGAAACCGTCACAGCCGAAAACAGAGCTGGAGAGCCCATTTTCACTGGCAGAACACTTGGGCCCACGCAGGCATCCCCGACATGAGTGACATTGAGTTGGCTACACCCGCCCTGGCCATGCGTCCCCCTCTCCCCACACCCGAGGTCAAACACAACCCTGATGCAGCCCTCAGTGAAATCTAGTTTGACACCCCTGGTGTAGAGGGAACAGCATTGATGAATAGCAGGAAGAGCAGCTACCAAGGCAATTGTCCCCAAAAGGGATCCATTTTCAAAGGTGTAACATGCATAGTTCATAGGAAGATGAAAGATGGAACACATTCAGATGTGGAAAGGTCCATTACTAGAACCTTATAATAAAAAGTAACACTAACCTCCATGGCATTGGTTTCCTTGTTTGGTTTACCTTGAACAACTGACAGAAGGAGGGGTTTCGTTCACACATGATGCAAAGCTATAATATGTTATGTGTGCTTTTATGTCAGGTTTGAGACAAGCTCTTGTGGTTTCTGTTGTCTGGTTTTACGCCCACTAATGGCTTAGTCAACTATGTTTGAAGTCTTCAAGCAGAAGCTTGATAGTTATCTGCACAAAATCCTATAATGGATCCTGCATTGCACAGGGCAGGGATTAGACTAGATTATCTCTGAGCCCGTTCCAATTCTGATTCTATAATTCCATCTGTAGTCTAACCTGGCATAAAGTAGCCTGGCTTGTTGTTATTTTTTTTTTTTCATGCCTCTGCCAGAATATATGGTCCATGTGAGATATTAAATACAGGTAGGCCTCGACTTACGACCATAATTAAGCCCAAGATTTCTGATGCTAAGCGAGACAGTTGTTAAGTGAATTTTGTCCCATTTTACGACCTTTCTCGCCACAGCTAAGTGAATCACTGCAATTGTTAATTTAGTCACATGGTTGTTAAGCGAATCTGGCTTCCCCATTGACTTTGGTTGTTCAAAAGTGATCACATGACCCTCTGAATTTTGATCACGTGACTATGGAAATACTGCAATGGTCATAAGTGTGAAAAAGGGTTATAGGTCACTCTTTTCAGTTGTAATTTTGAACAGTCACTAAATGAACTGTTGTGAGTGCCCAGTATAATTAGCAAGAGCACCTCTGCAGGAATTGCTCAGTTTTTGGAAATGCTTTTCATTCCAAAGGTGGTTGTTGTTGTTAGTTGTAAAGTTGTATCTGACCCGGAGGTGGGATTCAAATTTTTTTACTACTGGTTCTGTGGGTGTGGCTTGGCGGGTGTGGGATGGCATGGCTTGGTGGGTGTGGCATGGCTTGATAGGCATGGCATGGCTTGATGGGCGTAGCATGGCTTGATGGGCATGGCATGGCTTGGTGGGCGTAGCATGGCTTGGTGAGCGTGGCATGGCTTGGTGGGTGTAACTTAGTGGGAGTGGCAGGGAAAGGTTACTGCAAAATACCCATTCCCTCTCCACCCCACTAACCTGCTTTCCAGCTCCGTTCTCCTGTGCAGGACAACAAAAGGAGATCCAGCCAATCAGCTGGGACTTGGGAGGCAGAGAATAGATGGGGGTGGGGCCAGTCAGAGGTGGTATTCCAAACAATTCAAAATTTCCTCTACTGGTTCTCCAGAAGTAGTCAGAACCTGCTGAATACCATCTCTGGTCTGACCCATTGCGACCCCATGGACAATGTTCCTCCAGTCCTTCCTGTCCTCTACCATCCCCTGGAGTCCATTTAGGCTCACGCCGACTGCTTCTATGACTCCATCCAGCCACCTCATTCTCTGCCGTCCCCTTCTTTTTCTTTTGCCCTCAATCGTTCCCAGCATTAGGCTCTTCTCCAGGGAGTCCTTTCTTCTCATTAGGTGGCCAAAGTTTTTGAGGATATCTTCAGGATCTGGCCTTCTAAAGACTAGGACTGACCGGTTGGATCGCCTTGCAGTCCAAGGGATTCGCAGGAGTCTTGTCCAGCACCAGAGTTCAAAGGCCTCAATTCCAAGGGTAGAAAATCACCATAGACAGAGGTCTCCAAACTTGGCAACTTTAAGACTTGTGGACTTCAACTCCCAGGATTCTATGCTGGCTAGAGAATCCTGGGAGTTGAAGTCCACAAGTCTTAAAGTTGCCAAGTTTGGGGACCCCTGCTGTAGAGGGTCTATATAGCCTTGACTCTTGCAAAAGTATACAATGGCTTGAGGTGAGGTAAAATGCTAAGTGCAGAGGCACTTTTAATCCAACCTGTTGCCTCAACCAACCTGAGATGATGATGATATTTCTACATGGCCTAATCAGCAGTGTCTCTCAACCTTGGGAACTCTAAGAAGTGTGGACTTCAACAGTGTATCCTATTTGAAGAATTCTGGGAGTTAAAGTCCACATACCTTCAAGCAGCCAAGGTTGAGGAACCCTGGCCTATAACAAACTCCTTTTGAGTCTTTTTTCTCTTCAAAAACATAAGCAGCAGACATATTTTTTCCAGCTTTGTGGGCTTACTTATTCGATCAATTTCTGGGGCGGTTAGGATGCCATACCTCCAATAGCTCAAACTTCTCTTTCATCTGTTTGTTTGTTTCTTTATTTATCCCTGACATTTCTGTGCCACTCCATTTCAAAACAGCTGTGAACAACCCTAGAGCAAAAATAAGGATTAAGAACAACAGAACAAAGGGAAAACAATGGAAATCATATTGACGGAACCCAACAGGCGCAATCTCGAATTTAATATCTCCCCCAAATATTCTGACCCGCTTCTCTGTGAAAATGGTTTCGTCGGAGAAATGGTGATTCCTATACATGGGGTCAGGCTATTTTATAGGGTGTCAACTCATAAAATATTTCTATGGTCTTTTTAGAGTTGCCAACAGAAAGGGAAGGGGGAGGAGTGGGCAGCTTGCATTCCGTAAATGTTTTCAGAGATAGTTTCTAGGTGACCAAAGTTTCTGCCGAGCGAAATTCTAACTGGAGAGTATGATTGATGGCTCTTGGCTGTGGATGTGTCCCATTGGAGAATATAAATTATGATACACCCAGGGGGTGGGGTGGGGGAAACCAGGGTCAAGGGTGACAATGTCTCAGAGTCAGCTACACCCAGGCAGTGCCGACATATTTACTCCTAATAAATCTTCTTTAAGCTTTGGAAGTTCGGCTCGAGACTCGTGATTTAAATGGGGGTAACTGCTGGAGCCCTGACATAGGGGGGATACCATCATTCAGAATGTCTAGCTATGGGGGTCTCTAAAGATGGGGGGGCTTCTTAGAATCTGTCTCTTGACCAGCTGACATTCCTCCTGAATGGCCTTTTCTATTTTATATAATTGAATGGTTGGAATGTGTTGTATGTCCTTGACAATGGGGAGAGCCAGACTGGCTTCATGAGGGCAGAATTCACTTAATGACTGCCATGATTTGCTTAACAACCACAGCAAAAAAGGTCGTAAAATCAGGCATGACTCAACAACTGCCTTGTTTAGCAACAGAAATTCTGATCTCAGTTGAGATTGTAAGTCGAAGGCTGCCTATATGCCGTAAAAAAGGAACATCATAGCAAGGACAGCAAGCAGCTGACAGTTTTCTGAACATGGATTACCCAATTTCCTTATTTCTTTCTGTGCCCCTCTAATCTTGCAAACCTCAACAATTATATTGGTATCCAATTGCCATTTTTCACTCCCGTTCCTAGCAGCACAAGCCAAAACAGAAACACCCAAATGACAAAGCAGATTGGAGAATGCCCTGAAAATGACCTTTTATTTTTCTTGCAGGGAAAGGGGCTCCAAAATCTCATCTGAAAATGTTGCATTGGTGGGAGCTAAAGCTCTCATAGATGTGGTTGCGGATGGTGTAGATGACACCATCTGCCTTAATCCAGCTGCTTCTTCTTCTTCTTCTTCTTCTTCTTCTTCTTCTTCTTCTTCTTCTTCTTCTTCTTCTTCTTCTTCTTCTTCTTCTTCTTCTTCTTCTTCTTCTTCTTCTTCTTCTTCTTCTTCT